AAACAATCATTTCTACATTACTTCAGCTATAAGATAAAGCAAGCTGTTGATGAGTTTTTAAAATTCTAAGTGTTACTGTATCACTTGGTTGATTACAGCTGGAGGGACTACCCTTCTTCTGTTTATAGGTTGCTAATGAATGAAAAATGGTGCTGTACTTCCACTTCTCTCCCAAACCAAAGTAAAATAATTAGGACATAATAGTGTCTCTGCAGTAAGACACTGGTTTCTGCATCAGCAGTTTGAGATGTGCACTTGAAGAAGCAGACTTTCTCAAAGACAACTTCCCCTCCTAATAAACACGAAAGCTGTGATTTGTTGTTGTAACTCCCTTAAGAGAAGGAATAGCTCCATGGTACCTAATGTACGAGTAATAAATAACTAAAGCTTTAATTATTTTTATGAAAGAGGTAGCAAAGGACAGAGAAAGAGCACCAATAAATGGAACTCTTGAACATCAAAATGTGTATTTCTGAGAACAGGTTACAAACATGAGGTAACTGCTAAGTACAATAACATTTCTGCTATTAAACATATGCAACCTTTTGTTAATCAGTGGAGCTGTTGCAGTGTAAAGGGGACTCAGAGGAGAGGGGTGTGAAGGAGAAGGGAAGAAAAATAAATGCATTTGGGCAACTAATGTTTACATTTCATATTTGATCAGCCAAAACAAGAATTTGATTTTCACTTCTTATGAAGATTCATTGCATTTTTTATTACCCCAGCAGGTGTTACACTACAGAAACCGATTCTGAGAAAACAGAAACTGTTTCTAAAACTCAGAAGGAATGTCACCAATTACTGGTAGCTGATAATTCAGTTAGGCCGTTCACAAGTGCTGGAATTCTTTCACTTATTCTGAAGTAACTTTAAAGTAAGTGTCAGTGCAACCATCCACTCACATCCCCTAGGTCAAATATGCACGCTGCTCTAACAGTTCAGTCAGCAGGGGCATGGAAGCCTCAGCTCCTCAACTATCGGGTGCGGACAGACAAACAGCAAGTCTGGCGCTCCTGCACAGACACTCTGGGGTACCGACCAGGAAATTCAGCGCACAAGATGCACCTTCTTTTCATACAGAGATCAGCGGACTCAGCGATTATGGTCCAAGCCACCCCCATGTAACCCTATAAAACGCAAACGTACCAGTAAGCATTCGTAGAGCACATACCACACATGTAGCTAGACTACAGCTATGTGGAGACCTGGCAAAAAGGGATGCATGCCCGTGTTGTGACAGCGACAAGTACACAATACTCAAAAGACTGTGAGATAACGCAAGATTGTTAAGTTTACTAACTAGGCACGTAATAAATGAATAATTTGCTTAAGCGGAATTGTGCGGTGGTCTATGTATTTAATTGGAGGATCCAAAAGAACTGACAGTCAGAAAGATATTTATAATACAAAAAAGACATTATATATACACATATACACACATGGAATATATCTATATATATCTATATAGATATACACAAATCGGTAAACTTGAATAGCGCCTTTATCGAGAGCATCTTAAGGCATTCAAACATTTTACTACGACACTGACCCTATTTATTATCTTTTTGCTTTGGCTGAATTAAAGCAAACAGATTAAAGGTCTGATGTGAAACACCAAAGACGTCTGAAACCAAAGCCTAATTGTATCGTGGGTGACAGCAGCATCGTCTAAGAACCCACCCACTGCACTGTCTATTAGCTGAATAATATTAAAAGGAGTCTAAATAAATCATTCCCACTCACAGCTTTGCAACAGCAGAAGATAACGTCAGTCTCAGAGAGACTTTCTAGCCATATATTCTATAGATTCTATTACAAATTGAGGATAGAAAAGATACAGCAAGAGGGCCTGCCCTAGGATAGAATGCCACTGAATATCAAATAGTATTTACAGTACAGTTATGGGATTATAGAACATTTTATAAATACAATTAGTATGTGTACAAGGGCACATAAAAGAGAAATTTATTTTCATGCTTTACAAAGTGAAAGTAACCTGAACTAAAACTTACTGCAGAATTCCACAGCTGCTGGTTAGGAGCTTCTCTTCTCAACTGCCTGTACAAACCCAATCCCCATCACAGGTCACCAGTGAAATACCCATGTTTTAAGCAGCAGCTTTGAAGAATCTCAATAGACTCTGAATCATGAAACGTGACGTTTCAAAACATGGGTAAGACATAGCATGTTGGAGTTGTGACAACATTTACGCATAACTAACTTTCTCAGAGAACTTGGACTGTAACACACTGCATTTTTGCAAGGAAATATATAATACTGCAGCATATAGGTGGCAAAATTCAAGCAAGGTACATTACAACTTCTAACACAAAATAACAGAAAAAGCCAGAAGCATCTACCGAATTCTAAAGATGTGAGCTCTTCCTATATTTGTTTAGAATGGTAAAATAATATTTAATATTTCAGTACTTGCACATGTCCTTAAAAGATCAATAATTTCCTTTAATAAAAGCAGTTAGTTTTGCTTGTATAGAACCATGGTGCCTTTACAGACTTTTTTTTTTTTTTTTAAACCACATTGGCTGAAGACCAGTTATAGCATGAAACAGGAATATTACATAATACAATGCAGGCAGAGGAGAAATATATTCAGATAAAAAGGCAATTTTAACAGTCAACATAATGAAGAACTGACATTATTTTCTCTGCACACTTCACAAATGGTAAGGCAGGCTTGATTAAATTACCTTTAACCAGTAATATATTATACTTTACTCCAAGACAAGTAGACCAGTTTTACTGGGATACTTACTATGAAGGAGGATAATCTTTAAAGGTTTATTTACATGGAAAACAATCTTTTTTACATAATACATAAAATGGAGTAGTTATACACTGCAGCCATTTTATAATATTTAAGCTAAATGAAATGAATGTTAAAAACTATATCAACAGCTGTGGAACAGGCAGACAGAACGTGAACTGTTTTACTAAGCTACAAACCCATTTTCATTATAGAAAGTAACTAACTACCTGCTTGAGAAAAGAAAACAATTTTTTATAACCATCTTCTAACCACTATAAGCACTTCACAGTAGAGGGGCGAACTTCCACAAATGTTTTCTCCCGTGACAAAGTCCGTTTAAGAAGCTCCCGTGCTGCCAACCCTCTTTACTGCAGTTCACTCCTTCCTCAGTTATGCCAATATAAATCATTTTTTGGACCACAGCGGGAACTGGATCCCTCAAATGAACACGCTTACGAGAAACAAGCCTCCAAACACTGAACACCGGGCAGTTTTTTCACTGATCCAGCATTCGGCACAGCACTATATGCAGTTGCACTGGCACAGAGACACTGAACTGGAGCACAGAAAGGGAAGCGCAGAAGAATTTCTTAAACCAGCTTGGTGAGAAAAGTAAACTACTAACTGGCATTTGCTGCGAGAACAGCTATGAACACCAATTTCACGATGTTTAGATAGACACAATGCCAGTACAATGACACAAATAATAACTTAAGAAAGCAGTAATGCTTACAGGCACATTATTAGATTATCCACTGGAATTCAATTCCAAGGAGGAGGAAATGTTTTAAGAGACATGAAGTTTACTAAAAATAGTGCATTTTCTTTACCACTGCGCTAGCCTCAGGAGAAAGGAGGAGAGAGAGAGAGAAAAACAACATAATTCTTTCTGCCTCTCACCTGTAACTCCCGGTCCCAGGGAAGCTGCTTAGAGGGCTGCCCCCCTCCCTGCTCCCAGTAACCTCGACAGGCTCAGCACCCTCCCACCACGAGACCCACAGGCACGCCTGCTCACCTGCTGCAGGAAGTTATGGACACAGCCAGGCAGCAGACACAGCCCTAAGTTCCTAATTCTGTTCCGAATTGGGCTGTGAAAGATGGACCACCAAAACTGTACTGACGGCTCGGACAGACTGGTGCATGACATTTCTCCTCACTGTCTGCGTAACTAGGAGGAAAACCATTAAAGCCAAGTGAAACCGGCCTCCACAACAAGTCTCAAAAGCCATAATTTATCATCTTTTCCCATTACTATCTCAAACATATAATAAAGAAACTATTCTAAAATTTATTTTTCAAACTAAAAATTCCAACTAAAGCAGAACTGTACACACTTTACAGTTTGGTTGTAGTCAGAAAATTAAACTAGATTTCAGAAAGTCTTTTTCCTAAAGCTCTTTTCCTCTCATAACTATAGCACTGATGACAGGAGACAAACAAGTTGTTTCTGAGCGAGCAGTCCTTCTGCTTTGAGAGTACCAGTCACGTGTTACAGCGTTAATAGTGTCAAATTCAATTACTTTTTAATAAAACACTAGTTCTAATGCTTTATCACTTTACAATCATACTGTAGCCAAGACTGACACTTCCTTGTTCCAAAGCCAAGAACTATGTCTACCACAGCAGCTGGAAACATTTCACCATTTAGATGGCCCAGTTTTTCCAACACTGTGAATAATTAGGCTAAATACAGCAAGAAGTGAGGGTACAGCAGCCTTTTTTTTCCCCCCCCCCCTCTTCAGAAATGTATCAGAGAGCTTCATTAGTGTAAAGTAGGTTTTAGATTTGGTCAATGCAAGGAAAAACTGTCATTAAAAATTCTGAAGCAAAGATTTGTTTTCTAAAATTATTCAGTATATGTACAAATAGATACCAGGCATCATCAGGGTGGAGGGGGTGGGGGGTGGGGAAGTCGTCACTATTTCCTATTTTGAGTACTTAGAGTACAGAGAACCGATAATAAAATTCAAATTATATTTTTTTTCACCTAACACCAAATCTCTTCTAAATTAAACAATTAACAATGCTGGAATAAATTAATATTTGAGAAGGATTTCCCTGTATTCTGGGGAAACAAAATGTACAGAGAGGGAAAGA